GTAATGGGATTTGATCTCGCCTAGGCATCAGCATCACCCCATGAGGCGTATCTCACGTAATATACTATCGAGTACTATGGCAATTGTTGTTTCATGTTCGTGCTTTATTTGCTTTCATACGTCGACAACAAATAAAACGTTTGTTTTTCCCTATTCTCCCCCGAATGTATTATCCGACAGCCTACTTCATTGCATCAACAGAGAGTACAATCACAGCTTTTTGATTCCTGCCATACTACAGCGAAGAGGCAACCTCCTTCATTGGCTGCCTACGCTAGCCTGCGGGCACATTCAGCCCACGGCTTGCACCCCAGCCCTCTGGGCCTGACCTCCAGGCGGACAAGACCCAATCTGGGCCCTCGAGTTTCCGAACTTGATGCATCCAACTTGACTTCCCTCAAGCGGGCCTCAGATCGGCCGATTTCAACAGTCATTATTCCGGGGAAGCCGAAGACCACGGCATCTTCGCCTTACACACCAACTCGGCGGACCCTTTCCCCACAACCCGACTTGCTATCTGGCACCAAAATTGATAAAGACGAAAAAAAGGCCTGGCCAGAGAATGCCGACTTGCAGAGCAATGGCCCTTCGGCTATGGGCACCCCCTTGGTGGTTGGTAGCGTCACCAATTACTATAATGATGGGATCGTTTTTCAGATTGGTGGACCCTCAGCTCATCAGGTCAGGCAAGTACCAAGCCCTGGTAACTACATCCATGATCAATCTCAATCCCAGTATCAGTACCAACAGCAACGGGAACAGAAGGATGTCATTTCTGGCAACTTGGAGAGGAAAGAGACACCGGCTTGGCTAGGCAGAAGAGCTCAAGAATGCTCGCCTCTATTGCGATACACTTCGGTAGGCAAATTTATTATCAGATTTCATCTGTATAGTGACCAAAAAATGCCAGTTGGAAAACATTTTGAAACAACCTTTATAAGTACCTTAAATCAAAGCTAATTCACTTATTTGTAATTAATTTAACGTGACAACATTCCCCTCGAGTGAACCGATACCAACTTTATAATTATCTTCAAACAGGCCCAAAATTAGTACCTCAAAACC